GTGCTGTTTGATGTTGCTATTATAATTATTTTGGGGAGCCACAAACTGTGTCCATATAGGATAACAAGTTCACTCTGTAAGGATATGTGCTATGACTGCTTCACCAACCACCATCTTTCTCTCTCTCCCCAGGTTTCCCTATTCCCTGAGACACAACAATATCAAAATTAGGTCAGTTAATAACCCTATCATAGCCTCTAAGTGTTCAAGCAAAATGAAGAATCTTATGTCTCTCACTTTAAACCAAAAGCTAGAAATAATTAAGCTCAATGAAGAAAGTATGCCAAAAGCCAAGATAGGCTAAAATTTAGGCCTCTGGTGCCAAATAGTTAGCTAGGTTGTAAATGCAAAGTTAAAGTTCTTGAAGGAAATTCAAAGTGATATTCCAGTGAACACATGAAAATGGTAAGAAAGTGGAATAACTTATTGCTAGTATGGATAAAGTCTTCATGGTTCGGAGAGATCAAACCAGCCTCAACATTCCCTTAAGCCAAAACCTAATCCAAAGCAAGGCCCTAACTCTCTTCAATTCTATGAAGACTGAGAGAGGTGAGGAAGCTGCAGAAGAAAAGTCTGAAGCCAGCAGAGGTTGGCACATGAGGCTTAAGGAAAGCAGCTGTTTTCCTAACATAAAAAGTGCAAGGGGAAGCAACAAGTGCTGCTGTAGAATTGTAGCAAGTTACCCAGAAGATCTAGCTTCGATAATTAATGAAGGTGGCTACACTAAACAACAGATTTTTAATGTAGATGAAACAGCCTTTTTTTTTTTTTTGAAGATTTTTTTCATTTATTTGAGAGAATGAGAGAGAGCAGAGGGAGGAGCAGAGGGAGAGGGACAAGCAAACTCCCTGTTAAGTGCAGAGTTCAACGAGCAGCTCGATCTCAGGACCCTGAGATCATAATCTGAGCAGAAATCAAGAGTCAAAGTTTAACCAAATAAGCCATGCAGGCAGCCCTGAAAGAGCCTTCTATTGGAAGAAGATGCCAGGTAGGACTTTCCTTGCTAGAGAGGAGTAATCAATGCCTGGCTTCAAAGTTTCAAAGGACAAGTTGATTCTCCTGTTAGGAATTAATTCAGCTGGTGACTTTTAAGTTGAAATCAATGCTTACTGACCATTCCCAAAGTCCTAGGGTCCTTAAGAATTATGCCACATCTACTCTGCCTATGCTCTATATATGGAACAAAGCTTGGATGACAGCACATCCATTTATAGCACAGTTTACTGGATATTTTAAGCCCACTGTTGAGAACTACTGCTTAGAAAAAAAAAAATTCTGTCAAAGTATCACTGCTCACTGACAATACACCTGGTCACTGAAGAGCTCTGATGAAGATGTACAATAAGATTCATTTGTCTTGATGCCTGCTAACACAACATTCATGCTGCAGTACATGGATGGAGAAATCATTTAGACTTTTAAGTTTTATTACTTAAAAAATACATTTTATAAGATTATAGCTGCCACAGATAGTGATTTCTCTGATGTATCTGGGCAAAGTCAATTGAAAACCTCTGGAGAGAATTCAACATTCTAGATGCCATTAAGAAAATTTGTGATTCAAGGGAAGAAGTCAAAATTGTCAACTTTAACAGGAGTTTGGAAGAAGTTCGTTCTAGCCCTCATGGATGACTTTGAGGGATTCCAGACTTCAGTGGAGGAATTAACTGCAGATGTGATGGAAATAGCAGGACCATTAGAATTAGAAATGGTGCTTGAAGATGTGACTGAATTGCTGCATCTCATGATCTCATCTTAGAAGAGAAGAAATTGCTTCTTGGGATGCCTCAGTGGCTCAGTGTGTGAAGTGTCTGCCTTTGGTCAGGTTGTGATCCCAGCGTCCTGGGATCGAGTCCTGTATCAGGCTCCTTGTTCAGTGGGGAGCCTGCTTCTCCCTCTACCTGTTGCTCCCCCCTGCTTGTGCTCTCTCTCTCTCTCACAAATAAATAAGTAAAATCTTTTTTTTTTAAGTGTTTCTTATTGATGAACTAAGAGAGTGGATTTTTGAGATGGAATCTACTCCTGGTGAAGATGCTGTGGATATTGTTGAAATGACAACAAAGGATTTAGAATATGACATAAAGTTAGTTGATAAAGCAGCAGTAGGGTTTGAGAGGACTAACTACAATTTTGAAAGAAGTTCTACTGTGAGTAAAGTGCTATCAAACAGCACTGCAGGCTGCAGAGAAATGGTCCAGGAAAAGAAAAGTCAATCAGTGTGGCAAAATTTTTTGTCATCTTCTTATAAGAAATTGCCATGGCCACCTCACCCTTCAGCAACCAGCACCCTGACCAATCAGCAGTCATCAACACTGAGACAAGATCTTCCACCAGCAAAAAGATTACAACTCACTGAAAGCTCAGATGACAGTTTGCAATTTTTAACGATAAAGTATTTTTTATTAGGGTATATACATCACTTTGTTAAACATAATGTTATTGCACACTTGACAGACTACAGTATAGTATAAACATCACTTTTAATATGCACTAGAAAACCAAAAAAAAATCATTTGACTCATTTTATGTCAATATTTTTTTTACGGTATTTCCATTGTCTGAAACCAAACCTGCCTATCTCCATATAATTATCTTCCTTTAATTCTCAAAGCAACCCCACAAGGTAGATTCTATCATTATCCTCATTTTTCAGATAAGTAAATGGAGTCTTAGATTAAAAAAATAATACCCAGTTTCCTGCAGCTGGTCGCATTAAGTGTCACATTGGAGAATAAACCCTTCTGTGTGACTTTAAAGTTAATGTCTTAATTAGCTAATGTGATGTGCTGCTTCCGTTCTGAAAAAGAGCCTTCTTACTTAGGGAATTAACACTGGTCTGTAACAAGGCAAGAGGAACTGCTCATTATACTAACAAGGGATAATGAAGACCTCTCTGAAAGAGAAAAGCATTTTATAAGTTTCTTATTTCTCATTATGTCTTTCCATGTTCAATAACTCCGTCAACCCAACTGAGTTCATGTAATCATACTTGAAAAATTGCCCTGACTGCCACAGTCCAATTGATGAGGACTTGTTTTGTTATAATACCAGCATCAGTTATGTTATGTACCTTAATTAAACAGCAATAAGACTTAACTCTAAAATATGCCTACCTTTATTAGTCGTTTGTATCCATGATGATTTACTATCGTTTGCAGCCAGTTATTTGACTTAGGCTAGAGATTTTCAAGTTTGAGCTTACATCAGAGTGTCCTGCAGGGTTTACATAGATTATTGCGCCCCACTCTCAGAGGTCTTGATTCAGTAGATATGGATTAAAGCTCTTAAAATTTGCATTTCTAACAAGTTCCTAAATGCAGCTACTGTGGCTGATCTGAAGAGCACACTTTGAGAAGCAATGGCCCAGAGCTGTGTTTAAACCCCTTCCTGTAAAGAGCCAGGTAAATACTTTTGGCCTTGTGGGCCATATAGTCTCTGTCCTAACTACTCAACTTTTTCTCTGTAATATGAAAGCAAACATACACAATACCTAAATAAATAAGAGATAGCTATGTTTCAATAAAATTTTATTTACAGAAACATGTGTCAGACTGGATTTGGTCAATGGACTCAGTGGTTAACCTTCAGTCTAGACGAACTCAGAGTTTTAAGAAATCACTTTATCTATATTAAATAGCAGTTCTGAGAGAATCAATGATAGATTTAATAACAAAAATCCCTTACAAATTTTAAAATTAAATCTGAAGACATATACCAGAGACTAAGCTAATTGTGTTAAAACAGTATAAAGGAAAACCCCACAGCTTCCCTATGAACCCAATAAAAAAGCAGTACTTTTGGGCAAGAGTCTGCATCTTATAGTTTTAGTTTTATGATGCCCAGAACTCAATCTTCATTTTCAAATTTTAGTTTCAATTGGGTATTTTATTTATAGTGTTAAAAGTTGTAATTCTATTGATTAATAGAAAACCAGCATTAAGAAAAAGGAAAGAAAACTAACACTATACTGAATGACATAGATTATAACCCAATCAAGTTGTCTATTAACTCTATTATCAAACAAAATATAATGAAAAGACTCTACTTGCCATGAGTGTGCCCAGCTTTAATGTACTTCATCTGTACTCAGAATGGTGTACTTCAAACTAACTTAAAATGTCAATATAATCTTAAAGGTCTATTAAACTATATATGCCAATAAAATCATGGCATTAACTCTATCCTTATAAAATGTAAGTTTCTGTAAAAGGACAAAATTCACATACATTTTTGCCATAACAGAATGTGCTTTAGTTCCCTGAAAATAATTATTCGCAAACAGCATGCGGAAAGTTAGTATTTTTGGTCATCTCATAAAATTAAAATGCAAATATTTTGTCAAATGTCTCCAACAATGCTACAGACTAGAAATATTAAAATAAAGTCCTGAGAGACAATTACATATTTGAATATTTACTAACTTGCAGATAGAGTAAAATGATTTTATGGTAAGATATATAACTTCCATCTTTCAAAATCTTTTCCTAACTTTGATTAATCAAATGTTTCCTTATGACCCATGGCTTTATGTTTACCATTAGATATTTATTCTTTAATCTAATGCAGTGGTTTTCAAAGAGTCCTCAGGTTAAAAAAAAATGTTGAAAGAGTGTTGTGGTCAAATGAAAGTGGAATCTATTGAATTTAAACACATTTCAAAAGTTTTCTTTTACTTCAGAACTCCTCAGAATCATTAATATTCATGGTAGGAAGATACGGTAGATTATTTAGCAGTTTCCAATTTTATTTGAACATAGAACTCAATTATTAGTAGAAGATCTTGAAGTACAAGAGAAACACTTAAGAAAACAATGTTCCTAGTGTCTGAATCTAGATATCATTTATCATATGTTTTGAAAAAATAAATTAAATTTAATTTAACAAATATTTATTAAGTACTTCTATCATTTGATTAATCACTTAAAAGTTAATCCTTTATTTTAAATGTTACTCACCAAAATCTACCTAGAACTTATTTTAATCCTATTAAACATACTTACACTCTTCTTCAGGTCTCTTCCGAAGTGCTGCACGAACTTCTTTACAAGGACTTCTCTGATATTGTGGGGGATTCCTTCCCCTTATTAGGTTCTCCATCCTATAAGAGCAAACCAAAACTAAGTCTTAATACCGAAATTTTGATAAAATTTGACTTTTTAAATTGTCTAATAGTTCAGGAATCTATTGAGGTTCAGTACACAACACTATTTAGTACCTAGCAAAGAATAAGACACTAGGGAGTGGCAGGGAATCTGGTAAACTGGAGAGTAACTTTTCCAAGGAGTTCTAAATTTAAAAAAAATTAAAAAATTAAAAACACCACATAGACAAAATTCAAATGCCCATTCTCCAAGTAGATTGCTATGAATGGAATGTTTGTGTCTGTGTCCCCTATCCCCAAGTTTGTATGTTGAAGCCCTAATCCCTAGTGTGATAGAACTCAGTACTAGCAACATTAGTGATGCTGAAAACATAGCAATGATGACAACTAGAAAGTAACAGTAAATGGATCAAATTCAACTGCGTTAACGTATTTTATAGTACATTCTTTGTGATATTCTTTTTGGTTTCAGTAAACCTTACAGTTTTGTGTCACCAATACATAATCTACTCATTTTGATAGCCCTGAGAAACTACTGAGGATAGACAGAAGGAAACTTTTTTATGTATTATTTTTCCTTTTGTATTTCTGACTACCGATGATGTGACATTGATTCCATATAACCTTGTTTGCTTTCGTATAACAAGTTAGAAAGCACTATTAAGACTCCAAGAGAATTTTACTATTATGGTTCCTACTGGAATCAAGTATCTGCAGGTCAACTCCCACATGAATTGTGGGGCCCAAAGCTTGCATTCTGAGAACACTCATAAGCAGATCTGTAGGATCAGATGCAAAGAAGTGTGGCTTAAATGTGATAAGCCTAGGTTCTAGAAGCAGACTGCCTATGTTCAAACTCCCATTTAGTCTCTTAAAGGATGATTTTAGAGAATGTTATCTGCTTTGGGGCCTTAATTTTTCCATAAGTAAATGGGGAAAACATAAGCCATCTCATAAGACTGTTATGAGGATCAAATATGTTAATACCTATAAAATTCTTTACATACATTGTCCATCACAATTTGAGAGCTCAACAAATGTAACTATTGTTTATCAAAATTATCTCAAATAAAAATGAAATCATATACTAAAATTTAAATATCCAGTATGTTAGGAAAACTATGAAAGCTGGCCTTTTTTTCAATAAAGGAAAAGAACAGATAGCAGTGTTGAGGAAAAAAAAATTCTGACTAAATTAATGTCCTGATTATTAGAAAAACACAAAACATCCATGTACATGAATTGCCAGTTTTCAGAAATAAATAATAAAATATACTTCATTTTATTTAATAAGATTTAAGATTTACTATACGTTAATCTTTCAAGGATGGTGAGATGGATAAAAGTGAGTTGTCTTCATGAACTAACTAAAGCATTACATGCTGTAATTTTTCTTAGAGAATTTAGAAGATATTTCAAAATTATATAGTGCTCTGTGGCCTTAGCAACAACAATAAATATATTTTAGAATGTATTACCATTTATCATTTATTACATTTTTTCTTTACAACAACCTCCTGAAAGATCAAATTGAAGATGAGGAAACTAAGGCTCAGAAATATTTGGTGACCTGGTCACGGTTACACATGAAATAAAAGGCTCAAGTGAGATTTAATCAGGATTCTTGGACTTTTCATATTTTTCTTAGTGTTTCTTAATCTATTATTTCCATGAGTTTTTGATTATTATAATTCTACTAGGAGACTGATATTTGAGATTCTACTGTGTAATGAATAATAAATGATGAAATTCTTCCTTTTTTAATATTTATTTATTTGAGAAAGTGTGAGTGGGGGGAGGGACAATGGGAGAGGGAGAGAGACAATCTCAAGCAGGCTCGCTGCTGAGCATAGAGCTGGTTGCCGGGGTCAATTTCACAGCCCTGAGATCATAACCTAAGCTGAAATCAAGAGTCACTTAACTGACTGAGTCACCCAGGCGCCCTTAATGAGGAAATTCTTCTTAAATTCAATAATATATTAATCTATACCTATATATAAATGGTATACATGTTAGATATTTATATAAATATAATACTACACAAATCTATAAGTTTGTCTATAAGGTTATTTGCTAATTACATGTTGATTTTTGACCATTTAGCTATTTTTACTGAAATGTTTGTTCTGTCAGTCACACTTTAGAAGGCAGATATGCTCAACACTATATCACCAATGCTGTACCTGCCAGTGACATTTTAAGATTTTGAGAACCACCAAAAAGGTAACTGGGACCAAAGAAACTCACTATAAGTTATATATACAACACACTAATAGACAACAAAAAATTTAAAGCAGCTTTAAAAGTTCTCTTTTCCCTGGAATGCCAAACATTATGCCCAGTAGAAAACACACTTTGAATTCATGTCCAAACTATTATATAACTGTGTGACTTTCATCTTCCTGAGATTACACTCCTGGCTGCTTGAACTCTTCCACCAGTGTCATCTATGATCTACAGTTTGCATTAAATGGTCAGACAAAGAAACCAAAAATGAAGTTTTGGAGCAAAGCTAGGACACAGCAAAGGAGCTATTCTTGCTACTTTCAAACTTGGCAAGCCACCAGTGGGAATGTGTTAACAGTGCCAGCAAGGAGAGATTAAGTGTGATGACCACAGGTAAGACAGATGCTCTGACAACTCATTGAAGAGCTCTGAAAAGTGCAGCCTACATGTCAACTGCTGGGAAGAAACAGAGGCAGCCACATTAATAATAAAGAGCATTAAAAAGCAATCAGAGATTATGAGTAAAGATATCTACAACTCTCTTGTGGTATCTCCAAAACTTAGGTCATAATAATAATCTGAGGAGCCTTAAACAAGTACAAATTCTGCCATTCCCAGTACTAAAGATTTTCATTCAGTACGCAACAGTCAGGTTCCAGTAGATGTACTTTTTAACAATCAAATACTTCTGAAGTAGCCTTACATTGATCCCAATACTGAAATTTGGCAACCCCTACAAATAAAAAATAGACATATAGATATACAGGAGAGGGAAGTTCAGTGAATTCATTCCAGGATATAGTCACTTAGAGATACAAAGGTGAAGAGAATGCCGTTAGGACAGATACTACAAAAATGGAAAGATTAGTCAAAGAAGCATTGTCAAAGTCTTGCCAAGTACATTGGTAGTCTACCAGATGAACTAGGAGGCTGCCAACTGATAAGGCTGATAATCTCAATAGTGAAGTGATTTTTTTTTTCCAACAAGATTTGGCAGATTCAGCTGGATAAGAGTACAAGTTTAGATTAATCTAGAATTGTGGATTGGGTTAGGAGTATGACTAGTTAAGAAAGGAAGTGAAGTTGCGTGTAAATATGGTTGAATGAATTTATACTGGATGGAAGAGGAAGAGGAAGAACAACTGAGTCACTGGTAGACAAAGGTGTTGAGTTAAGAGAATAGAGGTATCAGGGATAAGTATTTCTAAAATGCCTATTATGTGCCAGGTGCTATGTTAACTTCTTTATACGTACATTATCTATACATTATCTATGTCATTTTTATTTTATCTGGACTCAAGAGCCCAGGCTATTGGCTACACTGTGAACTATGCAAATAGAACTTTCTGTGGTGATGGAAAAGTTCAGCATCTGTACTGTCTCATACAGCAGCTGCTAGCCTTATTCAATTGTTGAACATTTAAAATGTGACTAGGTGACTGAGGAACTGAATTTTTGATTTTTGAAATTTTATTGAGTTTAATTTATTTAAATTTAAATATAAATAGCCACATGTGATTACTATAGTAGGCAACACAGCATGCCATAGCACATGACTGGTAAAGATATGATTCTCCACTGAAGAATTCTGAATTAGCCAAAAAGAGCAGAGAAGTAAAGTTTTGGGGAAGTGTTCCATATGAGGGTCTTTAGAGACAAATGAACAACTTACTCCTCAGTGTGGAATTGGTTCACAGTAACCTCCTCAGAGCTCCTTTGCAGAAACAGTTTTTCACGCAACTATGGTTTTCAACTATGGAGCTCTGCCTCTAGTACTTCTAAGTGCCTTGAATATACACTTAAAACTCATTACTCTCTCTTGGCCTCTATGTATAATGCTCCTTTTGACTCAAATGAGTCCTCTTCCTACTCTATCTGAATTATACTTAGTCATCTTCCAGTCTTCATTATAATATCACTTTTTGAGATAATACAGGATCACTCTGACACCTTAATCTAATGAGGACTCAAATTATGGCTCCACTTTACAGCCTAGAGTTTTCCATCCTAACAGCTATCACAAATAGCAATTATATATTTACTTCCAGAATTTCTATCTAATGTCTGCCTTCCTCCTGTACTGTGAAGTTCCATGAAGGCAGGATTGATATTGATTTTATTCTCCACTTTATCAGTGGAATGAAAAAGTTGTCATAATGTTTGGCATTCATGAATTATATGTTGTTTGAATGAATGAATGAACCTATCTCTCCTAAACCTGCCATGAAGGAAACTATGTTCTGGGATCATTGGGTGTGAACCCGGTAGTTGAACTGGTGAGTGACCTTCTACATATTGTTGTTATTACCTTACCTGCAACCTATGTCCTGGCATTTCCTGATACTTTCCTAGTAAGCCATTGTCTTGCACTCAACAGTAGCCTCTCACAATTGCACTTTCCACATGCTACCAGACACCAGAGAGCAAGGCAGATGATCCCTGATTTCCTTTGCTGCAGGGCCTAGGGATGGGAGGAGAGGAAGAGGGAGCTGTTCTCCTTAGTGTGATGCTGCTCTGTGGGGACTTTCCTCAGCAGAACTAGGTGTCCTGATTAGTATGTGTGGAGGAAGGGAGTGATTTAATTGTGACATAAAAGAACTGGATTAAAAAGTAAAATCAACTTGTTTTGCTCACAAGATACCAAACATACTGAGGCTATTTTTTCCCTTCTCATTGAGCTTTTACTGTATTTACTGCTTTGTAAGCACAACCCAAACTGGAAAAATGTAGTGCTTTATGGGTTTACTTGATGACCAGACAACTTAGATAAG